CGTCGCATTGGCTCGCGCCTCGACAACTCAAAGTGAAGATTTATTTTAAAATACAGGACAAGGCGTTTTCGTTTGTTCCAACGAAATCCTCGAAGATTTTACACGTACACACTGGGAGCTCGAAAAACGCGAGACACTCTTAATGTGTATGGTGTGCACTAATGGCACGACGACCCGTTCGTTAGTGGCGTACTGATGGCTAGTTCCGCCGTCGCGAAAGGGTTAAGAAATTGAAAATCCAACAAGCATTCTGTGTAAACTTTTCCACTCGATAAAAAACAGTATAGAATTTGTATTAATATTATTTCTTCCGTTTGTAAATTCTCATACTAATAGCAACGTAACACTATAAATTCTTTATTAGACAAATTCATACATAACGTGCGAATAAAATTTGTTCATCTCTTTCTAATTTTAAAATGAATTAAAGCCTAAGGAAGAAACGAATTCTGAAAGAAGCAGTTCTTTTCACAATCAGTAATATGCAAAATGAAGAAAAGGTAATAGAAAAAGTAAAGTGAAAAAAAAATATTACACTTAGAGTGAAAATATTACTGTTATATGGCACAGATTCTGCGAACAGAGTTTTGGCACAGCATGACCTACAAAATTGGCGAAGCTGTGGTAGAACTAGTTTTCTTCGTTTTTCTCTTTTTTCTTTTTTCAATATTTTTCTTTTCTTTTTCACGAACAGAGCCTGAATTTTATGTATGTCATTTTATGGGTTTGTGCAAGACCTTGTCGAGCAATATTTTGTCTAACACGATAGAATATGAACTTTCTCTGAAGAAATTTCCAAATTCTTAAATTATTTCTGAATCTTTAAGTAAGTTTTTTATTACCGTAATAACTATTCCTTGAAAATTCTAAACTCAGGCTTAGAGTAAAAAAAAACAAATGCACCTTTTGATAAATTAATAATCCGTCTTCATTCGTTAAAATATTAATTAAACATCCCTTCAACGATATTTCTTTCCTCGATTATTTTAAGTAATATACAATATAGAAATATTGTTCCAAATTAAACGAAACTTGTTCAAAGGATGTAAACATAATCCATTGTTGCAGCGACAGTCTAGTTGCTTGCAAAGTATGCGGCCGCCGTTTCGCTCAGGATCGAATAACGCTTCATGAACAAATTTGCACGAAGACGGGACAAAAGAAGAGGAAACAATTCGATACGATGATGTTCCGCGTAAAAGGTACCGATCTTGAGCCGTTCGTTAAGAAGGGATTCGCCAAGAAACAAGCGGAGGTTGGTATACCTTATTCCGATCCTTGAATAAATTGTCCTTCGTCCTCTTCCTGTCCTCAAAATTTCCAATTCGTTTCGAGTTACTTTCACTTGTCATTGCAAAACTAACGATTTTTCGACATGTTTAACCCTTCTTTTGGTTCGCAAAACACTATGAATGCAACCAATAAACTGATATATTTTTGAGGAATAAAAATAGTTGGCGCGACCATGAACTCATGTATGTACCTACGTATATTTGAGAAAAATGTAATTTTGATGTAATTTAGTTTAAAAAAACAATTGTGTGGAAAAAAGAAAAAAGTTCGACATGGTACAAAGGGTTAACCCTTTGATTTTTGGCCACTCAGAAGTGAAACACTTGCTGTGCGTGGTCGAGTGTAGCATTTAATAGTCACTATGTATAAAATATGTTCAGGAATTAAGTTACCGCTATAATTTGCTTTTCCGACCAATCTTCTATATTTGTAAAATAAAGAATGTACAGGGTGAATCACAAAACGTAATCAGCGTAGATTGTTCTTTTTAGAAAATCTTTTTATCTGGTATAACATGGTTCAAAGAGAGCTTTAACCCGTTTTTCAGAATTTTCATTTGTTACGATACTCGCCGAATTCGCCTCAATATCCGCTAAAAGATAGGTGTTAAAAAATTAATAATAATTGCGTGCGCAATAATAATTATCGAATATCTGTCTCGCGATAATTGCATAGGGGGAGTTCCCCTAACACCGGACGCTTAAGGTTTTTCTTAAATAAATCTCTCTACCTGTGCACACGCGACTGAAACGCGTAGAGAACTTACTTTTATTCCTTTTGTCTCCTCTAGGAGATACGCAGAATAACGGCTCGGTAGCGTTTCAATTGATGTAGATATAACTAATGTCCGGCGTTAAGGGAACTCCCCCTATTTCAAAATACTTCAATTCCTAGAAATTACAAAATAAGACCACTGTACATAATTTCGCTAAAATAATTCACAAAATGTTATACTTCCCGTCAGTCTCAAAGGAAAGAAAAGAGAATTCGTCATATTCGAAGATAAAGAATAAATAAGTAATTTGAAAAGATCCTTTATATCGCATAAAATTGAATAGTTTTCGCAAAGAAGGACGAGGGACAACGGTTTGTCTAAAAGAACGGAACGGTTGTTGTTTTGCATGTTTCAGAAATCGAAGAAACCGGAAGTGAAGTCAAACTGGCGGCGCAAACACGAGGATTTCATTAACGCTATACGCTCAGCTAAGCAAGTGCAAGCACACCTGGCCGCAGGAGGCAAGCTCAGCGATTTGCCGCCACCGCCGGTTAGCGATAACTGCGATTACATTCAGTGCCCCCATTGCGGAAGAAAATTCAATCAGGCAGCCGCCGAGCGTCACATTCCCAAATGCGAGCACATGTTGCACAATAAGCCGATACACTCGCGAGCACCGAAACCAAGGCGCTAATTCTCCCGGAGAAAACTAAACGATTCTTTTGAAAGGGAACAGGATAGATGAAAGTGCCTCTGTTCTAAGGAAAACAAGTTCTAAATAAGAGTTAAAACGAAAACGAAAGAGTAAAACTTTATTGCAAGGGGAATGTATTGTATGTAGTTAGTAACGAAGAGATAAAATTGTAATGTAGAGAAAATTTTATACGAGCGTTAATTGTGACATTCTTACAAAATTTTTATAAGGTATTTTATGTAAATGAAAAACACTCGCAGAGGTTCCGTTGTGTGTCGGAAATGTAATGCAAAATGGACGTGATTTGTAGCTGCAGCCTGAACTCGAACGAGTTTTCTACGTGTATTTTGGAATAAATGTACTTTCCGATTATTCTACAATAAAACACGTATTTTGCCTATACTGTATATATGTACGTAGCGAAAGTGACTTGTGAATTTGATGTACCACTTTTTCGAGGAATATGCAGAGAAAAAAATTTGTAGAAACAAATTGTGTTTCTTCTTTTTTTTTCACGAGAACTGTCTACTTGTTCGATTGAAATCGACGTTTACGAAGTGCAAAAGAATTGCGAATCTACCAATGTTCCATTGTGAAAAGTTACAATATTTGAAACACGTACTTTATACATATTTATATCTTTTTATACTATAGCATTAGTGGAACATTATATGGCTATTTTTAACATTATAATCGATTCTCCCAGAACGTTATCGCTTTCATATAATAACCATACCTAATGTGATTTACTTTGTAAGTTTCCATTGAAATAGGTCGTCATGTAAAATGAAGGAACATTTTTATAGCGGTTAATCTTTTTAATAAACGAGAATATTGTAATATTATTATTATTATAATGAATTATTGTATGCTAATAAACTAACTTTTTAGTAAAAAGGGAAAAGGTAGCAATGCGATAAATTTCATCCCCGAAAAATTTCGTTAATTAATTTAAAAAAATAAATACTCGACATTTTAATGAACCACAAAATTTTCAAATAAAATTATTCGAAAAAAGTTGTAATAAATGAACACGAAATACTAGAAATTATTGAGTCTGTAATGTTGGCAATAAAAGTGCATGCGTGAATTGGTCGAGATCCAACACAGCAGACGACGTGGTATTCTCGGTGTAAGGAAGGAATATTTAAAAAGTCTCCTGCGTTCGTTAGCCTGTCATGATTAAAACGCGAAATCTTACGATGTTTCTGAGTCCGTTTCACGTGTAGGAAGAAATAATGGATCACTTACTCATCTTGGTGGCTACTGTGCATTTATTGTATTGTCCATTTACAAAAGTGGAAGAAAGTTTCAATCTTCAGGCTATGCATGACATCTTATATCATAGTTTTAACCTAACAGAGGTAATTTTTATAACATTTATCAAAAATGTACCATATGAATATAAATGCTTAAAAACTAGACGACTAAAAACAAGTTACGACAGAATACTTATCTATCTTGACAGGTTGCTGACACGTAATCAAAGAGATATTACGCAAAAACTTAGATATTATATTTAGATGCAGATGCATGTATTTATAAACTTACGATCAGCTGATACAAATTCTATACGCTTCAGGAGTTTACTAACACGTTAACTTTAGTTTTCTTTGAAACGCATAATCCAAGTTTTGTATAACATATATTGGCAGATTTCATGAAATTATTTATGTTAATACAAAATAATCATTGTGCCAAAAATGCAAATAAGATCTAGTTATTTAACATGTTTATGTGCACATATATATTTACTAAAACAAAATAAAGACAGAAACTAATCATTTATAACATATTTTTGTTCTTTGATAGTATGATCACCATGAATTTCCTGGAGTTGTGCCACGATCATTCGTGGGACCAATTATAATATCAGGCTTGGCATCACCGCTAATAGCAAGCATTAATTATTTGCACCTTAATAAATTCTTTGCTCAATATATTGGTAAGTTGATTAATAAAATTGTATCAGTATTATCATACAGCTTTGCTTGATTTATTATTAATATTAGATATGAGTAGTAAAGCATTTTTTTTTATTTCTGGAACATTATATGTATTTGGATTATATTGAAAAAAATAATTAGTATTATTATTTTACAGTAAGAGCAACACTGGGATTATTAGTAATAGCTACATTAAAACTATATAGGGAAGCCTTGCAAAGTGTCTTTGGTTTGCAATTTACAAAATGGTTTATTGCAATTACTGTGACACAATACCATTTTATGTATTATTTAAGTCGCCCATTGCCAAATATAATGGCTATGCCATTAGGTAATTTAAATTCACTGTTATTGTTTACACTTTGCTTGATAATTTACAGGACAGTTACTAATTTCATATTATTTCTACATTACAGTATTACTGGCTTTATATGGATGGTTGAAACAAAGTCACACAATATTTATTTGGTCTTCTGCAGCAGCAATTATAATATTCAGAGCAGAACTTGCCATGCTACTGGGATTATTCCTTTTGTACGATATAGCCAACATGAAACTGACCATACCAAGGTATTTACATATTATATTGTGGACCATTGATTCCTAGTATGGCTGTAACATTGCATACAGAAGTGATTAGAATCATCAAGGGACCTTCTGCAAAACTGCACTGATTTGTAAGCTTTGTTTGCTTATAAAACTTATTAACATAATCAAACCCTTCTCTCAGAAATAACTCAAACAAACATAGATCCTTTATTTGATAAACTGCAATAAAATTTATGCTATTACTGATAGTAGAAGAGAAAAATGATTAAACATAATTTTATAATATACGAAACTTTCATTTATTAAAACTATACAAATAGAGTGTCAGAATAATAATTTCATGAAAACAATAATTTTTTAGACTACTTAAAATTGCGGTTCCAGCCGGTATATTTTTTCTAATGCTAACGATTGCAGTAGATTCCATATTTTGGAGACGATTGTTATGGCCTGAGGGAGAAGTATTTTATTTTAACACTATTCTTAATAAGAGCAGTGAATGGGGTGTATCCTTTCTCAGTAAAATTACCATTTTTAAATTTATTTAAAATGATAAATTTAAAACACATCTATTGAACTTAATATAAATATAGACATCACCATTCTTATGGTACTTTTATTCAGCTCTTCCACGTGGATTAGCTTTATCTTATCTTTTAATACCTTTGGGTATGTTATGGGATGCTCGAGTTCGGGCATTAACAGTTCCTGGTATTGCATTTGTTGCTTTATTTTCATTCTTACCTCATAAAGAATTGAGATTTATTATATATGTCTTTCCATTACTAAATGTTAGTGCTGCAGTTGTTTGCCACAGAATGTAAGTACTCTGCTCTTTAAATCAGCTTTTTAACACGTTAAGCGCCAAGCCTGTTTTGTTTTCCTTTCCGTTTAGCCCGCGATATCCGATTTCACCGATATGCTGACGGCCGGAGATCTGTGTAAGGTTGCGATAAAACTGCATGTGTTTTAAT